TGTGAAGTCCGAGAACCCACATTTGACCAGCGTGGTGGACTATGGCCTGTTCCTCGTCATATTGAAGGGAGGCCCATACCCAGGAGTGAAATGAGATATTTTCCCGCGGTAAAAAATATCCTATATGTTGACCCGAATAACCAGCTATCAGCATACCAAATTTCATCAAAATCCCTCTAGTGGTTTTTTCTGTGATGCGGTAACAGATAGACAGATAGACAGACAGATAGACAGAAAGAGAGACAGACAAAAATTCTAATAACTATAGATTCGGCCTCTGTATCGATAATAATGTTTATTTCAATAAGAGTTACAATTTTATTATAATTATATAGATAGATAACAACAGAGTATCGCGACGTGATGTATTTTTTTAATTTCTTTATGCCGATACGTCAAGTACTTAGTGTAGTAGTTATTAATTAGGTTTAAAAAATATTTTAAATTCTACTTTAATATAATTTTATTGAACGCATTCATTAAAATATTTCTATAAAAGCCATATAATCATAATCAAATCATTAAGAAAATTATTCATACATATAATTAATAAAGGTACACCCCTATCAGTCAGCGTGTAAAATGTCAGCTATTATAGCCGGCGTGAAACGAACCACGGCGCCGTTAACTCGCTCGATTCGCGGCGGAGGCCGTCAAGTATCCGTCCACTGATTAATACTACTTTCGATGTAAAGACCCATAATTATCTGTAAAGCTCATTACAATGTCAGAGAAAAATAACAACCTACTATTATGTAATTATGAAAAACTAGAGGTTTCATCCGATTTTACTCGCGTCTTAACTGTGGTGTTGACTTTGTACAGACTTATTGTTTAGGCTTTGAAGCCTTACCTATATTATTTAAAAAAAAATGGTCAATATCACATCGAATTGAATACCTCCATGTTTTGGAATAGGACAACAAATAGCAGCTAGTTTTATCTATAATATAATAATAAAACTGTTTAAATTAAAATTAACATATCGTTGGCTCACTATTGCAAGGTTCTATGTAACAATTTTAGTACTTATGTCGTTATGAATGCTACCTTCTAAATCTAATGCTACTTTAAGTTATATGTGTCATTAGCTACAGTTTTGCAAAAAAAATCACTAGGTAGCGGCACTTTAACTGCAAAATATTCAATTTTACATAGTTCTATGTTGTTTTTTTTTACGATAACAAAATAACGAAGTTTTATGTAAAAATTACTAAATTTCATTAAAATTAACATAGAACCTTGTAATAGTAAGCCAACGATATATTGTAAGGTATTTTGGTTTTACCTTTCTTTTTTTCGAAATCATTGTACAGTTTTGTGGGTAAATACAAAAATAAATATAAATACTTATAATATAATATAAATATTATATATTAATATAAATATTATATATTAATATAAATATTATATATTAATATAAATATTATATATACCTTTTAGACGTCTAAAACCTAATCTCCCGTGACCATGATTACTGTAAAGCATTCGAAACTTCGGAAACCAAAAACCAAAATAAATCCGCGAACAAACCCGAAAAGATAGTTTTATTTTAAATCCCATCAATACTATAATATCCCATTAATTAAAACGTATTGTATCCAATAAATGCGAAAGTTTGGATGGATGGATGTTTGTAACTCAATCACGCTAGAACTGTACGGATCTGGATGAAATTTGGCGCAGAGATAGATTATAGTCTGGAATAGCATATATGTTACTTTTTATCCCAAAAAAATGAACAGTTCCCGTGGGATAATTTTTTTTTTGACATTTTGTTACTAGGGAGAAACCCTAGCGAAGCGAGGATGAGTCGGTAGTGTCAAATATTCACGAAAATATAAGAAAGTATAACTTGAACTAATACAAGTTTTATAATTCATTCACACATCCGTTTTGTTTCTACCAGCTGGATATATCAACGTTCAATAAAATATTCATCATTAACATATTTATTACTTACAATTAAGATTTTTAGTTCTTTATCTCCATCTAACTCTTCAAGATTAATAAAAATGGATTACCGTTGATAAAATATATAGTACCTTATCGTCAGTATATATTATAGTTCATTAAAAATAATATGTTATCTTAATCGTTTACAGGTTTTTAATTACTAAGATATATTACAGCGATATCATTAATGATGGAGATCAATTCTTGTAAGGATATGTGAAAGGGCAATAATTTACCGTAGAAATATCTTTATTACGACCCACATGGAGTTAAGCACATGTCTATTTGGTATCGTTTTATGTGGAAAAGGTCCCAAGTTCGATATCCGTATGTGAAAATAAAATAATAATAATAAATAAATAAATATGTTGTGACATTAACACACAGCATCATCTAGTTCCATGGTAAGCTACGAGGCTTGTGCTATGGATACCAGATAGTTGATACACTACACATATTATATAACTTTAAATACATAAACTACATCCATGATTGGAGTTCAAGCATTCATATTCATCACACAAATGAATGCCCCCAGCGGGGCTCGAACCCGCGACCGCTGGTGGAGCAAGTAGCGTCACTATAAACTGACCCGAACTGTTGTCCATAAACGTTCAATGGATGGATGGATAGAAAAAATGTTTAATGTATCATAGAGATGTTTATTACACTGTGATTGAAACGTGTAAAATTGGTAATATATTTCTGTTATTATTGTTTGTGGAAGCGAAAAATGGATTTGGGCGGTAACTACGTATATTTTCTTTTTATTTGACGTACCTACTGTATAGTACAATTTTATATAAGAAAATGAAGAATTTCTTCAAATGTAAAATTTTCTTTTTGGGATTTCTCGCGGTTTTTTTTTTGAATATTGGTTCCCGAAGTTCCGAATGCTTTACAGCAATCATTGTCACGGGAGAGACTGGATAAAATCAAAATAAATACGCGTTATACAATTCTCAAAAAATTGTCCGTTTATGTAATAATACCTACTAGCGACTCACAATTGCTTGGCTCGGGTTCGTCCCTAGGTACCTTTTAACAGTTAGTATGAAATAGATAGACTATATGTTATAATGATATATAGCCTATAGCCTTCCTCAATAAGCGTGCTATCTATTACAAAAAAAATCTTTCAAATCGGATTAGTAGTTCCTGGGATTAGAGCTATCAAACAAACAAGTTATTAAATATATAATATATTAAACGTAATTATATAATATATTAAACGAAAGTAATGCATTAAAATATTAAATAATATATAATATATTTATTTAATATTTTAATGCATTACGTTCATTTATATTAGACAATATAAAAAGAACTGACAAAATAAATTTACTAAGTATATTAGAGCAAAAATCAAGTGACAAATCCCTATTGAAATATTCCACAGAAATATTAAAACTGTAAGTCATGATTACACTAATACTGGGGCTGGTTATAAAAACGAGGGTCTATTTGTAAAGCAAACAATGAGATGGCATTTCTTTCCTACTCCGGTGGTCAGAAATAACTTTAAATCCCAACGCTACCTGAACGAATTACGCAAAAATAAATATGAAAAACTCATTTTACTTCAAATATCTAATGGATTTACATTAAATATTTTCCATTTAAACGTTAGCTAGAGTTTAATTAAGGACACTTGCCATCAGGGGCTCATTTATTAGATATTATATGTACTTATATTTATTTTTTTATTTTGACACACACAAAAGTGATTATGATAATAATATTATTGAATTAATTATAAAGTAAAATAACGACTCAATTTGTCAATTCAATACAATTTTTATAATTGAATACTCCTATATTTAAACGTAACATAGCAAATTTGATAGTATATAATATATAAACTTACTTTAAGTTTATATGCCAAGTAATATATTTCTAACTAAATCCACTTGGCATAAAAGAATGATATTATTTTAAATTAAATTACATATTTTAAAAAAGCTTATGGTCCTGCTTTACCTTTTTTTCATATTGAATAAATGAGTAACTTCGTGATTATAATAAGAATGCAAAGATAAAAAATAACAATAAAATAATAATTTTCCAACCCACGACTCTAGATAAAAGTTATGAAGTTAATGCCAATAAATTAAGCTCTCATCACAACTCCTACATCCACTATCGACATCTATGCTAGCTTTTCGAAAACTTTTAAACAACTTTAATAAAAGACTTTCTAAAGTGCAGGGAATATAAAAATGTATGCGAATTCAAAACTTATGTAAACCATGGAAATTATTGAGCATTGAATATTTTTTGTACTTAAAGATACAATACAATATGTTAAAAATAGAATTGCAATAATGCTATTTTTATCTTTATACATTTAATATAGGAAAAAATAACGGAATAACTTAATAAACTGTTAAAAAATAAAATAAAACATTAATAATTCATAAAATTTAAACAATATAATTTATAATATAACTATGTTTTCGAATTTATTATTATTTTTATATTTGGCTCCCAACTATTCAAATACTTTATAGCAATCAAGATTGCTGTAAAATTAAAATATCAAATATACGCATAAATCTAAGAAGTTATAATATAATTTGTTTTAGATATAGTTAGTTTCCACAAACAACCATGACAACTGTAAAACTAGTTATAATTAAAAACAAAACAATAAAAAATAATTTTACCACAAAAAAAAACCTAAAGCTACAAAACTCATTAGTGAATGAAGCGTCAACTAACCGCTAAGGTAAAACCGACTACCGTTTACTCGCTATTGAATATCCAATGCATCTGCATATTTTATATAATCCTTTCATCAAACAGTGTGGGAGCGAGACGGCTACAGGGTGTTAAGTGGTGGGGATAAGACGGCAAAGCTCCCGCAAAGTATAACAAAATGCAAAAATGGCGACACGAATGACAACGTGTCAGAGGGGGGAGGGACAGAAATCCTCAGTTTGACGCCGACCGTCGTGAGAGACAGACGTTAGTTAGTGAGTGATGTGATTGGATCGTGAAGTGTTAAAATTAAACTGGAGAAAGATAATATTCTGTGGAGCACCATGCTCACTTCAAGCAATCAGTATTTACGGCCGGATTATTTGTCGCCGTTACCCACAACGGTAGGTTTTTTTTGTTGAGCTTTTATACGAAATTGTTAGTAATTTAATATGTATTTAATGTATATGATTATTTTTGATTATTATATAAATAATTTAAATTACAATTCATATTCTTAATTAATTTAGTCACAAAAAATGTTAATAGGTTTTTTTTTTTGATTATAGTAAAACAAAATAGGTATTGCTCCTAATAATCATAGCAAAAAAAACAACAATAACTAGTTTATTCAATAGTTAAATTTTCTTTAGTTCCATGGTCGAAATACCTCATAACATAAAAGCTTCCTTGATTACTTCACCAAACTTTCAACAATACTACAATGCAGTCGGTAAATAAAAATACATACTTTACTATTTAACATAACGATACAGTAATCCAATATGTTTTTTTAAATATACACTCGTTCTCCGCTACATCATTATTTCTTTTCATTATTATGGCTCTATATTAGAGAATGTAATGAATAATTATCTAAGATTAATTTTAATATCAATAAAAAAACACATTTTAATCCTGCAAAAGTTCCTCCTCCACGACCGAATCATTGGTGTTTTATTTATTATTTTCGGTAAACAAGTATAACACTCGCACGATAAATAAAAAAAACGACAGATTTACTTTTTTTATTTGCTGTTAAAGATAAATTATATAACAAAGGTGCTTTTTTAAAAACCTCTAATTTAAAATTTTACTCAAAACTAGTATCTTACTTAAAGTATTCAAGCTTTTCATTTTTCGTAGTATAAACAAGGAACTTTTCAGAGAACGGTATGTTTAATGTTTATAATATTCTAATTTATAGAAAATGTATAATTTGTTTATTTAATAAATGCGAATGTAAAAGTTTCATGTAATTTAAGTAAATTTAATTAACTTACACATTAAAAGCTCAACTCAAGCTTTTAAAGCTTAAGAAAATGTTGTACTATGTATGTATTTTAACTTACATCCAAAAAAAAACTCCAACGTAATCTTAAATTAAATTATATTTTATATTTAATTATATTATCTATAATACTTTAATATAGTATCCTCCTGTATAATAAGTACAATAATAGTTTAGTGTTCACTTTTGTTATTATTAGTAGACATTAAATAAAATGCCGAGACTAATCGATTACACGCGGATTTTTATTGAACGTCAAAAACGATTGTAAATACTTTTAAACTATCATTAAGTGCGAGCTCTGGAAATAATCCAACAAAATTAATAATTTTTCTAGACGATAAACAAGGCCATAAAACACGCAACACGCCGACTAAGACATTCAATTTAAAATGATTGATTAAGAAACGAAACGTTCTTTTCATGATAAATTATTTTGACTTTAATATAAATTGTCGGGGTTTTTTCACTTATTGTTTTATTATTTCAAAATCACTCAAGCCAGGATAAACATTATGTGAATTTTAAGTTTTGAATAAAAAAGAAACTTCTTTTTCTCAATATAGCTCAATAGAAATATTTATGTCCACGGCTGCTGTAGCAGATTGTCCCATGTGTCTGGCTAACATTACGTGTTTATTATAGTAGATGTTCCGAGTACTATTCCCGTATAGGTTATGTTTTTAAAATAATGTGTTCGGTCAACTTAAAATATTACATTCTCTAATACTGAACAAACAAATTATTCTAATAAACAGAAAGCGTAGAACGGAGTGTATTATATAACGAATAGCTTATAAAAGGCATTATGAATATTGATAATTTAAGACATTAAAGATTACCGACATTTATGATTTTAATTATAGTTAATTTATTATAATTACTTAGTACTTAATTATATTATTCATAATTTAATGTTCTAAAACTATCTTAAGAACAATATAAATTTACAATTTATCACGATTATCACATTATAAATGTTAAAGAATTATAATTTAAATAACGCCTTTAAAAATTCAATTTTTGTACGAGTAATAACACATCGCAAACATAAAACAAAATCCTGCCCCAAATGTTCAAACTAACGCTTCGTGATAATAGACGTGACAGCGCGGCAAGTACAGGCGCGCCGCAAATTCAGCGGCACAAATTGGCCTTTTCACTGCGAGATTACATCATGCGGGAGCCGAGTGAAATGTCAAGCGGAGCCGACGGCTGCCAGACGCGCGGATAATGGCGCATCGGCCGCGTGATTGGACCCCCCTGCCTCCCTCGCCTTTGTGCCGTCACTCGCACCGACGTTTCATTTCATAAAATTCTTTGTTGCAGCTCGACGCGAAAAAGAGCCCGTTGGCGCTACTGGCGCAGACCTGCAGTGCGATTGGAGCTGACACACCGAACCCCAAGCTCATCTCCGCTGCGGAAAAAGCTAGCAAGAAATACGACGACAAACCAATGCATGTGGATAACAAACCCAGTTTCAAGCCTTATGAATCGTGCCTAACGAGAGAAAAGACTAGGACGCCGGAGGACAGAGCCTCTTCAGTGAACGCTCACTCCAAAACGCCGTCTTCAAAAGGAAGTGCTTCGACTACACCAGTTCAAGCCAGATGTAATAGCAACCAAAGCTCATCCTCTCAAAGGACGTCGCCTTCGGGTCACCGTAAAACGCCTTCGGAAAAATCGGATGAAAGGAACAGTCCTCTACATTCACCTGCTCAAACCAAATCAAATTCTGATTCAAGTAATTCATCATCCAAGTTACCATACCCAAGTGCATTACCGTCCGCCGATACCAAAGAACCATCCAGTTTCAAGCCCAGCGTACCTGTTTCTTCATCAGGGTTTCTTGGTGGATTACCCCCGACTGGATTTCCACTTCATATGGATCTTATGACAAGTAGTCTGATGGCAGCACAACATCACGCTTTAAAAAATGGATTAAATCCATATTTAGCATACGCAAGAATGAAGGCGCCAGGTAGCGATTTAGGAATATGTAGAGATCCCTATTGCACTGGTTGTTCACTAAGTTCACATTTGCTTAAATCGGCAGTGTGTCCAGCCGGTTGCGCTCAATGTGATCATGCGAAGACACCTTTTTCTTTACCTACTGGTCATCCGGCAGCTGCGGCATACGCTCACGCACAGCTCGCGGCTTTAGCTGCGGCATCTCAACTACCATTTGTATGCAGCTGGATGGCTGGCGACTCTGCATATTGTGGCAAGAGGTTTGCAACATCAGAGGAACTGCTCCAACACCTAAGATCTCATACTGCAAGTGGCGAATCAAGTCCAAGTTTATCTATGTTGAGTGCAACACATCCTCTTCTTCAGAGGACGTACCCAACACCGCCACTATCACCTCTCACGCCTCGGTTCCACCCGTACAGCAAGCCCTCTCATTTGATGTCATCACCACCGCTGCCATTCCCTCTGCCACCGCACCCATCGCTGGCTGCGTACTTTCCATCGTATCCCTTATTTGGGCCGCGGCCACTTCACCCTTGAGGACCGTCGGCGCTCCACGAACACAAGAAGGGGGGCGCCGATCATTAACGCCCATGCCAAAAGGACATTCGGAACTGAAGACAGTGTATATATATGATAGTGTTCTTCCGTTTCTAGTCGGCTCATATCATCGGACGATGCCCCTCGGGGCGAGACAGCTGTGATCTCTAACATATAATATTCGTAGTGCACACTCTGAGCCCGCTATCGCTTTGGTGCGGTATTTTCTAGTTAGACTAACTCAATTTTTATGTACCAAATCTATAGTGACGTAATTTAAATAGTTTCTAATTTAAGTTGTTACGATTAGTGATTGTTAAATGTGTTTGTATTTTTTTTAATATTTTGAATATTATTTTAGCGAGTTTAACACATCTTATTTAATATGCGCTAAAACATCGTAAGTGTTAATGTTAATAATATATATCATTTTGTTCGCACCCATTTTCTTGTGATAAAATTTTAATTGCCCTGAACACTTTTATTTTAAACATAAAAGCTTCGTGCGTTGGCACCGTTTTGAAATTTAATGTTAATAAGATATCTGCGTTAATATACATTCTTAATCACGGGAGTAAATTGCGTGTACTAGAATTTATCAATGTAATAGCTGCAATGAATACCTGTTTACAGTTTGTTGTTAAAGAGTACATAAAAATGGAAAATATACGTAAATATTTAATTTAAAAGTTTCGTTTTGTTTATCCCTTAAACACATGTATATACATTGATCATAATAATTTTAAAACAACCTAAATCAAGAAGTATTACATAAATAAACCAAAACAGACTCGAGCATCATATACATAACATCAAGGGATCAAGTAAATCATTTCGATAGAAATATACCTCGTACATCTAATTATTTTACAGCAGCTTGTGCTTTCATAATAGATCTAGAGATAATCACAAATCTTTCTCGTCGAGTGTGAGTCAACTTTGCAACACCCGTAATTAGGAGCGGACCGGCTTCCATATAATAAATTATGTGCAATTTATCTGTCCGTCTGTCACCATACATCATGGGCTTTGGCCAACGTTGAGATATTATGAATGTTTGCGATCCGTTGACGCCTTATATCAGCAGTATTCATCTTTCGGCTATTATTTTGATTATTTCAGATATTATCATAAGCTATTTATTGACTAACTTTACTTTTGAATTATGGCGCTACAAATATTGTCTATACATATAATAAAATTCTGAGTCGAATCTGTACGTACATTAAAAATTTTTTGGAAAATCTTATTGAAATATTATTATCGATACAGAGGCCGAATCTACAGTTTTTAGAATTTTTGTTTGTCTGTCGGTCTGTGATCGCATTACGAGAAAATCCCCCCAGGTCAACATATATATAAGATACTTTTTACTACGGGAAAATATCTCATCTCTAAGAAACCTATTCTAAACATTAAAAGGTATCTAGTTCGCTTTAAGTTCCTTTATAAAATCATTTTGCTATTGTAAAAATTTAAAATTTCATTTTTCTCTTTTTAACAATTGATCAATTTAAATTATGAATATGTATTTACTTTTATTTAATAAAAACGAAATGGTTATGCAACTAATTAGTGATAGTAGCTTTTACTCGTAAGTTGCAGAATTTGAAAATATATGTGATAATATTGAAAATTATATAATACATATATGTGATGATATTGATAATTAACATATTTATATAAGCTAATATATTATATATAACTATACATTTCTGTTTAAAAGAAAAATTCAATCCCACTATTGGGCAAGAGCCTGTCCTTGGGTGGTAGATCAGGGTAAAGTCCTCAACCCTGGACAAATGCGGTGGAAAGACACACTTCCTTTAGAAACAAGGATTTTACACCCGCTTTACTTTTATTTTATTTAGTTATCAATGAGCTACTGCCTTTTATGGTAATATGATGAAATAATAAAGACAAAATTTGGATAGAAATACATTCATAGGCCTTAATATGATCCCATCAAATTTCTATTAAATTCTTTGAAGCTTTGATTTATTTTGATTGCTGATTTATCATTATGTTATAGCTCACGATAAACAACAGGTAAGCAAATGTTATTTAACTTCGTTAACTATTAATTTTAATCTAACTTGTACATTCTAACGTGACACAAATGCTATTGACTGCATTTTATGGACACAGATTCAAAGAATTCAAACCACTCGCTTATGCATTCATAATTCAAAGATATTCATATAATTTTAGAATATATTACACTCGTACATTATAATATGGCAGCAGAGTTGAATTTTACAGAATGTTTATTTAAACAACTATGTGAAACGGGAGCAATTTAAAGCTACTTGTAAAATATGTTTTCCAAATTTTGTATATTAATTTATTTGTAAGCGTGAAAAGCAACAGAAAATCTTTAAAACAACTGAATTTTAATATTATTTAAATGTTTGGCCAACTTCAAAATAGAAAGATGCACTCAATTTTGATGTAGGTATTTTTGCGTGAAGGTCTACTACTACTATCCAGTACCGGATTCAATCTTAGCGCCGGCCCTGGCTACTGTAAGAAAGCCGCCCAATTATCTAAATTTTGCATAAAGTACATAGATTGTTTCGATAAAGTTTAATTTCTTTTAATTATTAATGTTTTAAATTTTTCGAAAAATGTACTAGTATTTTTTTGAATTATTTTTTTGGAAAATACAAAAAGAATTTTCGATAACATTAAGATCAAAAAACTTTTCACCCTGTGAATGTTGCCGCCTCTAAAAATTTACCGCCCTGGGCACTAGCCCCAAGTGCCCCAGTGTAAATCCAGCGCTAATAATATCTACATAATATGCTACGCAATATCTTCTTATTATGAAGTTATGTTAATTCAATTACTAACAAATAAAAGTAGTAAACATACATCTAAGGTAGAAATAATTACATTGTCACTTTAGTAAAAAATTGATAAAAAATTAATTTTCATTGACTGAAAATGCCTAAGTTTCAATCGGCTTTATACATATCTGTCCTCTGGTCCTTACATAAATAATATCGGCTCATTAAAATCTGAGAGTTTTCTTAAGTGGTGCTAAATAAAACGGAAAGACACAAAATTATGAACGCACAATTTCTTGACTTCCTTATTGTATCAGATACGCCAAAGTATTTTAATATTAAATATGATGTATTTATTGGTTTGTCTTGCTGTAACGCAGTAACAGATTTTACATATAGATAGTTAGAAGACCGGAGAATAGCAAGTTTTTTATATCCCCAATACAGCACCAAGGGTTTCTTGCAAGACAAATCTGGCGAGGAAAGTCTAGAGGCGGCACTAGTATTGGATAACATTATCTAAGGCAAATTGTTTCCGGTACCATTATTACTATGCTAAGTATTACAAAGGAATGGATATGCGCTTTAATTTATCTCAATTAATTATACCTTACACTATATATTTTGAATTAATTGTAGGTAGATTTCTAACTACAATAAATTGATATAGCTAATATAACGTTGGCTTGGTTTAGCCTATTATGTTTAACCGACTTTAAAAATGAAGGAAGTTAATGAATTCGGCTGTTATGTGGTTTTTATGGGTATTGTATGTTGAAATTTCATCAATTTTTTATCTCAGTTTCTATTCTTATTCACAGCATATAATATAATAATAATTTAATGATTTCTTTTTTTGGCTCTAAACGAATGTTGACGGTTAATTAGCGATGAGATATTTTCCCGAAATAAAAAGTATCCTATACGCTGACACGGATAGCCAGCTATCATCATACTAAATTTTATCAAAATTTGTCCAGTGGTTTTCTCGTGATACGTTCCCAGAAAAACATTCAGACAAACAAAAGTTCTAAAACCTATAGATTCGGCCTCTGTATCGACAATAATGACTATGTCAATAAGATTTTCCAAAAAATAATTAATATACAAATTCGACCCAGAATTATATTATATGTATAAATAAATACCTATAGATTTGTTTATAATTTCACTACAGCGACACCTGTCGGATTCTAGCTCAAACAATATGCTTAAAAGAAAATTCTTATACAAATAGTTCTTATCAGACAAATACCAGACCTCAGACTTATAAATAATAAAGTCAAGAGTATTGTAAAACTAAACATGAAGCCAAACAACATTTAAAATAATAATATACAAGGTTTTAAAACGGTATACAAATATTAATATCATACTTATTGATTTGATAAGTTAATAAATGTTAATCAACAAAATAGCCAACGGATTTTATTTACAATACAGAAAAATATCTAAACACACTAATATTATACTGTCTCAAGGGGAAGAGAACTAATGCTTACAAAATACAAAAGAATAGGTATAGTATTGTTTTTAGTATACATATGTATTTTTTCTCATAATTTGTAAATTAACGACCTATATCTGTATAAAATAACTTAAGTATGGCCAAATCGAGATAAACAGCGATTCACGCTACTATTTTTGTCATTTTTTTGGCGGGCTCCGTCTACTCTATATAATTATTTAGTCTAAGCACCAAACAAATAAACTTACATCATGATGTTATGGATGGCATAGTTCTGAATTTACTAGGAACAAATATCTTGTTAGATATTTAAACAAATTACAAGGTGTATTGACAGTGATTACTTTGTTTACAAATACGTTATAGCACCTGTTGACTCAGTATGCAATATTGACCGTTCTTATTCAATTAATGACACACAAATCAAACATAATGCAAGAGCTAATGGCTATTAAGCTTATATAAGGTTTTAATTTATTAATTATTTTTCCATGTATACATATAATAAAAATCTGAGTAGAATCTGTACATTAAATATTTTTTTGGAAAATCTTATTGGAATAGTCATTATTATCGATACAGTGGCCGAATCTGTAGTTTTTAGAATTTTTGTCTGTCTTTCTGTCTGTCTGTCTGGGAACGCATCACGAAAAAACCACTGGACAGATTTTGATGAAATTGGGTATGATGATAGCTGGTTATCTGGGTCAACATATAGTATACTTTTTTAAGCGCGAAAA